TGTTAGGATGTCGCAAGTTACCTTTGCTGTTTACTGGAGTAAAATAAGGCTGGGAATCATAATGCTGAGCTACTGGCTTTGTTACAGGTACCATACATTCTACATGTTGATCATCACCAGAATGACTAGAAATAAATGATTTAATTAAAAAATTGTATATGAAACAACTAATACATTTATAAATATACAATAATATATATACACACAACATACACCTAGATACGTTTTCCAACTAACTCATGATATTTGCATACATTATTAGTTGTCTACATATACAAAACCATTTCTTCTACATTAGTTAAAACAAAATTTAATAAATTATGCATGAATTAGTTAACTCAGATGACAACTACATTAATCAATAACTTAATGTGGTCACTTTCAATATTACAATTAAATATAGTTTATATATTTACTTATTTATGATTCACTGATTAAATTTTTTATGTTATTTTAGTCCTATGTCAAACTGTTTTCTTGTTTAACTGACAATCTGACACACACACAAAAAAAGCGTTTATAGCTATAGTTTTCTATTATTTACAGTACATTAAATCATGCTTTTTGTAGGGAAAAACACAAACAGAAATTTTAGGTCTTAAAAAGTATGCATGCTATTAAAACAGTAGAAATACATTATACATGCTCATTCATTTTTGTCTAGGCTTTAAGCATTCTCAAATTAGTATTTTCTTAAAGTGGTGATATTATAAGCTGGACAATCTGCACTGTCATGAACCACAAAAATATGCACACATAAAAGAACAGAGCTAGGCAATTAGTGGAATCTCCTAATCAATTAATTATCAGGCTCATTAACCAACTACGTTTAACTAACTGATTATTCTAACAAAACTAATCTTCCTATTTTCAGCTTATTTTGAGGTATTTAAACGACATTTTTGAACTTCCCTCTATTTAATACAATGAACATCTTTACATAAAAAAATTTAAAAGTAAATTACTTTTTTAATCCTAAACTGTTGTACATGAAACTTTATCATATATACAATATATTACAAAACCTTTAATAAGCTAAATATATTAATATAATTCCATATATTTATCTTAACAGATTTTCAAAAGACAAACTAAATAAATTATTTGTTAAAATAATGATTCATAAGGTGGAAATGAAAGTAATATAAAAAAAACCTGGAACTTACTGTAATGTGGAAAAGTTTTAACCCCAAATGTTTCAAATTTTTTTTATAATCCTATCATTTCTGTGAAATACTTAAAAAAATAACTAACAATTTTTTAAGCATAAAAGTATCATAAGCTTTTAAATGAGAAGTTGTTCCTATGGATGAAAGTTCAGAAAGAACACATTTAAATGATTAATATGTATGTTTACATTTTACAGTACAGTCTACAAGAAACTAAAAAAAGTGTGTACTTAGAAATCAATAAATAAAGCTCGCTGTATTAGGCAGTGTTTAAACAGAATGCGACAACAGCCAAATTTATATTTTCACTTTTTACTGAGTAAGTCATAATTAGACAAGAGCCTTGATTTTGTAAATGGTTAAATGATTTAATATAATTACATATTTTTTTATTATTATAAATCCATGTCTAGCAATTTCTGATAGTTAAATCAGTTACTTATTCAGGAATCAAATTTTTTAAGGGTGAATAAAGAATACCAACTTGCCATAACCTTTTTTTAATTAAACGAATCTTACCCTACATTACACTGGTTACCTTTGTAACTTGTAATAAATAAGCAATATATTACGTTAAAGCTGCACTATTATTTAGGCATAAAATGTAAACAAACATCATAGTGGCTAGTTATTTAACCAACAGCCACTAGACCAAACTCTCACACTTGCGAGTTGTGTACAATCGAAACGCATGTATACCACTGAACGCAATTGTACCAGTGGAAGTAGTAATACCTAATATTTCAATTACGTGTACTTTTAATTGTTGGTAAAATCAAAAATAGTAATAATTGGAAATCAATTTAGATTAGTTGATTATTTAAATGAGTTATGACACTAATAAATTAAGCTGAACAAACTTAAATTGATAAAAAAAATAACAATGGCAATATATATTTTGTTTATTAACTGTTAATCTATACATACTAGTAGAAATCTAACAAAATTTCATGAATACATACGGATTCTATTTAAACAATTTAAAAAAGCCAATGTAAATTTTCTTTTCTTACTCTTTTACCAACTGATATGTCTGTGTACAAAATTTCTTTTCAGTGGTCCAAGAGTTTTTACAAAAATTTCAAGAAACACTAGGTTTTCCTCATCAGACATTTTAGCTAAAAGACAAAACTAAAATGTACTAGTACACTTACATGTATGAGAATTTGAATTTGCCAAAATTATAACACGTAGCAACTCATATTTATTTCTATGTTTAATAACATCTGCAAGTATGAATGTTCGGCACTTGTGTAAAAGTTAAAAGCAAATAAATAATTAAATTCAACATAAATTGGTACACAAATAAAAATTTTTCATTGAAGCTAGCAACCACTCTGCATGCTTTGACAATACTTGTCATCCACAGAAGTAACTTGCAAGTACAAGAGTACAATTTTTATAAATATACAACATGCCATGTGACATTACTTTCCCTACTGTTTATATAATTTGCTTAGTAACTTACTACAAGAGGTTACACTATATACTAACATGAAGACTAGTTTGTTCTTCATCTTTTTAACACTATATACTCTTTTTTAATCTTATTATTTCTAAAGATTCACAATGGTTTTATGATCAAACTGTTAAGTTGGGCTAGAATTGTACTTTCATCCCATAAAATATTTCAACTATGTAGCAATAATGCTGCATTATATTCCATTTTGCTTCTATGTGTATATCTATTTAGAACAATGCCTTACCCTACTAAGATAGATGAGTATTGAGGGTCAGCTGTGATAATGGATGATGCTCCAGCTGTATTTTGGCTATCCAGTATGGGCCCTAAATTTTTAGCAACACAGTTAGGTACGTTAATCCATCCAGATGTAGAAGGGCTTGTTTTACTTGAGGTATTCTGTTTTGGTAAAACTGGAGAAGATTGTGGCAAGGGAGTAGTGTTGCTCCAAGTACCCTGAGCTTTTGGTGTACTGGTAGTCAATTTTTCTACATGAGAATTCTTATTTTGACCAGACACATTAACTGGTGTCACAAAATTACCTTCCAAATGACTTTGATTTCTATTCTCGGCAATCTCTGGACTACTTCCCACTGTATGACTTTCTTCTGATACATTACCAGCATTAATCTCTTGAAGAAGTTCTATTCGTTGCTTTTCTTGAGTCTCGAGTTGATCCAAAAATTGTTGTTTCTGCCGCTGAAATTCTTTCCAAAGGTCTGAGCTGTTGTGCTCACTGGAACTGTCTGACTGATTATACTTAGTCTTTCCTTTTTCTTCTGATGTTGGGCTTTTATTTGAATCAGCATTGTTCACATGAAAAAGTGAAACAGCAAATGATTCTTCAGAATTATCATTGGTGCTTCTTTGCTCATTTTGCTTTCCTTTAATATTTTGAGAATTTACTTCATATTTAATATCTTTTTCTTTTGATGTATTTGAACTATATCTTTTGTCTAAAGAAAGAATTAAAGAATGATCCTTAGAAGGAGAAGATTCAAGAATAGTGTGAAGATCATTTACACTGGCACTAAAAACATCCCCACCTTCAAACAACCTATCTACAGATGTATTGACTGCCTTTTTTCCTGTCAAGTGAAACCCTGCAAATGATTTTGACATAGCTGACATGTCATTCAATGAGAATGCCATGCCATTCTTTCCAAGTCCCACAGCATCCAAATTGGGAGTCAGAGAACGGGACATTATATCAGATGTCCGTAGCCTAGTAAATGGGATGGCTGAATGAGGAAAAACCTTGGGTTTGATTGGAGTAATTAAAATCTGTTCTGACCAGGATGCTTCTAGCCCAGGTTTTTCAAGTTGCTCTACTTCCACATTTAAAGTCTTTTGTTCAAAAGGATATGAAAAAGTTTCTAGTGGAATGTATTGTAACCAGGATAAAAGACTAAGATCTGAGTCATTAAACCCTGTTCCATTCAAAACATGAGAAAAATGAATTTCATGAGCATCAGAGGAAGCTGCAGTTGCTCGCTGTTGGCAGAACTCTACACAAGACTCGTATATAATTCCCTTGATTATCAGCTGAATTAAGCGATCACTTGTTGCTATTTTTTCAGGTTGGTTTCCCTTTTTATCCAAGGGTAGGAACTTTTCAACCAATGGAAAAACAGCTTTAAAACAATTTACTCTTGCATTGCTAGGATTCCAGTTTTTATAATCCAAGTGGTCTGATAAACGTGGAAATGTAAGCAGAAGACAGAAATTATTATAATCTTCTTTTGATGGACAGTATTTTTCTAGTTCATTTAAACATTTTACAACTTCTTCAACAGCAACATCAATATTTTGGAAAGGCCCAATTTCTGATCTTATACAAAGCAGCTCAATATATTTGTGCTTCATAACAATGTATCTAAACTGCTTGGAGTCAAATGTCTCCAAAGTTTCAAGAGGTTGGATGAACTTGAGCACATCATCCCACTGACCATCGAGAATTAGCTGACGGAGGAACAGAACATCATCAGAAAAAATACCATTAATAACACCCGCTTCTCTTTCCAAAGAAAGCTGAGAGATGTTCAATTCACGATTAGCCAAGAATTCTAGCACAAGTCGTATAACTTCCTCCTCTTTCAGTGTAAGGTGTGCAGATGGCATCTTTTAACGTGGATCTTTCCTCCTAATAGGAATTACAAAAAATCAATGTTACTTATTAACTCAATGAAAAACTTCTTTATATATTTTTTATAAATTAATAAAATAGATCCACAATTTTCATGTACATACTATTTCAAGCATTCTTTGAAATCTCATCTTCAACTCATAAATATAAGCATACCTATCACCAACAACATGCGGTCATGTTTTGTCTCTTTAAACTGAATGAATTACACAAATATGTAAATACAGGGTTTGAACTCAGTGCTAGTGAATTACATTTTGAGAGTCAAAATGGATATATAGCAAATCAAAATGTAATTTCAGTCCACATATAAGCAAATCACTGTTAAATTCTATTTATACACTTCATATGTGAAAAATATCAATTGTTACAGTAAAGCAGAAATGCAAACTTATAAAAAATGATGCAATTGGCAAAATTTCCATGTGCCCACATACCTGGTGTTTGCTGATTTTGCATGAAACATAAAACAGAATGGGTACTTTAAACTGAGTCCAAGAAAATATTTTTTAATAAGCTAGGAAAGGGAAATTCAGATAGTACTTGTCCCCTTCATAATTTTGCTTAGTTCACTTAAGTCATCAGATACAAAGTTACTTTTTTACAGTGATTTTATGTAGAATATGTATAAGAGTATACAAAATCTGATTTATATATTATTATTAATGAAAACAAATGTATTTTATATATTCAACCAATTTTAAATTTTGTATTTATTAACATATTTATCTTTGTGAACATCAATATAAATATTGTTACTCAACTTCTTTAGGAATTTTTTTAGTATGTTCTCTGACTTACTGTCAGATGTTGCTGCACAACATACTACCAGCTGCTATACACACAAATGCTAAGTACTGTATCGTTATCTGACTTCTGAGAGTAAATAATTATTATTATTACAGTTTTCTAAAGTAAATAATATAAAAAATAAGCATGATCAGCAACAAGAAAAATTTTATGCCAATAAAAATTCCCGGGGAAAAAATACCTGGCAAGTATGTTTTAACTCATTCACTGTATTTATCCTTCAAGCTTGGATTTACATCATCCCTTGAAACTTCATTATTAGTAACTAGCAAATTGTTTACCTAGTTCTTCCATTTACATTGCTTTTTAAAAGCTAATTTTTTATACTGTACAACTATTTCAATTTTCCTTCTGTCACTATTAACACATACAGACTTTATTAGATGCACACCAGTACCTGGTCATACCACTGTTACTTACTGTGTATGAGTAAATTATAGTGCAATTGTTACTTGCTATCAAATACATTTAGTAAAAGGAAAATACAAACACCTAGATTCTCTGAAAATATTATGATTCCACTAAGAAAAGTTTTACTTGTTTAAAACCAGGGGATTTTGCTAATAACCGAATGATAGGGTTAAGATCTTAGGGTTCAGGTTTTACTTATTATTCATGTATTTTTCCTTCTACTGTTTAATTCAGCTATATTTTTTATTTGCCTTAAAACTAGCTCACCTGTTTCTCAGTTTAAACATTAAATATTAAAGAAATAATATTTATATTAACATATAATATGATGTTTAGGAACAACAATGGACCTATTGGTCCATTTAGCCTGTCCCATCCTCCAAATTAAACTAAAACTATTAAATAAATAAATAAAAAAAAACAAACCTCAAAGCCAGTCCTTATCATTCATATAGTTATCAAAGTTCCAAAGGCCAACCACTCTGTTCTAAAAATACAACTGTCTTAACTGAAAATGACTCCTACCCTGCCACAATTTATATATTAGTGTCCCCTGGTCCTACCATTCTCATCATTACATATGATGCATCAGCACTATCAATTCCCTTAAGAATCTTAGATGCCTCAATCAAATCCCCTTTAACTCTTCTTTTTTCAAAAGAAAACAATTTCAGAGGTCTTAACCTCTTGTCATATGACAACCCCTTTATCCCAGGCACCATTATAATAGCCCTTTCCAACAATTCAATGTTCTTCCTAAGGTAAGGAGCCCAAATCTGAATATACTACTCCAAATGTGGCCTAACCAGTGACCTATACAATGAAATTATAACCTTTGTAGATTTGTATTCAATACTTCTGTAGATACAACCTAAAATCCTATTTGCCGTACCATTAGTAACAGCACACTGCTTGGATGGCTTAAGAGACTAATGAACCACTACACCACAAACCTTTTCTTTCGTAACACTGTTAAGGTTATTCAAATTCAAATTATAACCCACATGCATTATCATGCATTTATTATGATTAAGTCCCATCTGCCATTTATTTGCCCAACTCACTAAATGATCTAAATCCTTTTGTAAAGCAGTAGTATCCTCCTCACAGCCAACAACACCCAAGACCTTAATACCATCAGCAAATGTAAGTAATTTATTGACCATTTGTTTGGCTATGCCATTGGTGTAAATCAAAAACAGCAAAGGGCCTAAGACTGGGCCTTGAGGTACCTATTGGTGGCTTAATTCCAGTTTGACTGAGCTCCATTTATAATCCCCGATTTCTTCCATTCAGCCACTCTTCTAACCAATTAGCTAACTTATCCCCCACACCTATAGAGATAATTTTTTCAAAAGTCTTTTATGTGGCACCTTGTCATCAAAATCCAGATACACCAAATCTACACCCTTACTCTAATCTATGTAAGCAGTAGCACCAACACAAAGTTCCCTAGCAGTAATGTGACATGTAATCTCGTGGTTTGGTAAAACAATAAAAAACCTTAAGTCTAATGTGACAGAGAGAGAAGTTAGGCTGTGAAACTACGATATGCAAGATATTTGATTTGTCAAAAGATTTTATTTCAAGTACTTGCTTCACCTTTTACTTGTGATTTAACATTATTTATTTGAGAAGTGTCTAATATTGTTATTTTGAATAATCTTACAAATTAGTTTTTTTTCTTTTTCTGGTACTTTTTTTTTAGTCTTTATTACTTCTACCATTATTTTGAATATTAATAACATTGCTTTTTTTTAGTATTTCATATATTTCAGTTTTATTTGGAGATAAAGTTGTTATTAATGGAGTCCAGTGAATATGAACCTTTGTTACAAGCATTCTACATTATACCTCAAGGAAAAGTGTTTGGGTATTTAATTTTTCTTGGTCACATTAGTAATGATGAAAGAGACAGTTAGTAAAATTAGTAAAGTTAACATTTTCCTAAGCTGAAGATGCATTTCCAATAGATACTTACATCTTCTCACAAAAAGCGTTCTTGATTAACACTGTCTTCTATTCGCACAATTTTTTTCATGACTAATATCAAACTGATTAACAGGTGCATTATTAGAGAGGGTGCTACTTACAAAAGGGGCAGTGTTGCACTCCTGTTGGTGGAGGGTTGATGCATGATCATTTGCATGTAGATATGCAGAAAAAGTGAGAGTTACAAAGATAATGGTAAATGCCAAGTCAACCAATACACTGGAAGTCGGGAGGGCAGGTGGGAAATGTGAGATAAAATATGTATCTATCAGAAATACATTTTCAGTTTAGGAAAATGTTAACTTCTGATACAATATTTTATCTCCTCTCAAAAAAAAAAAGGCTACAATTCCAAATTGATCCAGTGGAGGTCTGATGAGATATGATCTTCCTTTAGAAAGCACCCAAAGAAAGACCATGAGGTGTAGTAAGGAATTAAAAACAACACACCAATGGGAGACTGCACCACTTCTGAGCCAGGTATACCCTTTGCCTTCAGGAATATGTCACCAAAACATAAAGGGTAGAGACATGGAAGGGCTCCGAAACATTTTCAGTACAAAGGGACTCCAGGTGATGATTGGCTAGAGAGTGACAGACTGTAAATGGGAGTTCGACCTCAACCAACACCTGCCAGCATCTGGAATTGTACATCAGGTACGCAGTAGGAAGAGGGTCCTCTGCCTTTCACCACAAAAATGGATACTGGGAGGGAAGACAAGCTACTGAACCAAGAACCCATCTCTGCATGTGTGCATCTCCAACACAACCACCACCCAAATCCACCGAAAACCCACATCCAGAGAGCTCAAGAGGCATTCATCTCCAGTCCAAAACCTGGTGGCATTGAGAATGTGTCATCCAGCCTGCAGTAAGAACAGGGTACCCAGCCTTACACATGCAGGAATTCATGTTTGCCAGACAGCTTCCAACCAACACCAGATTCACTGGGAACCGAAATCTAGAGGAAAGTAGGAAGAGGAACTGCAATTTGGGGTTGTATCTCCAGTCCAAAACCTGGCTGCATTGGAATTTATTATCCAGCCCATGTAAGAGGAGGGTACCAGCTAAACACATGTGAGGACTTAAGTGGCTGGACAATCTCCAACCAACACCTGATCCACCGGGAACTGACACCAGGACTATGGTAGGAAGGAGGAATGTCTTGGCCGGAGGGGCAAACTGCAATAAATATGTATAGAAATGGCAGAGTGCTACAATCAACAACTGGTGACATCTGGAATTGTACATCAGGTCCACAGTAGGAAGGGTGTCATGCCATCAACACTAGAAGAATGCCACCACCCTACTCGCTTACTGACTGGTATTACGTACTCCCAGGAGGACAGGGCTTCATGGTCCACCACCCCAGTGGCTAGGAAGTGATAAGTGTCAAAAACTCCCATACCCCAATAGAAGAAAGGGAGGAAAAATGTGCTGGAATGTCAAAAGGACTGCAGCATCGGAGACAGTGCAATGAATGACCACAATACCCTATTTATGAAAGCAAAGCTACCACTTTGATGGAGTCGATCAACCAACACCATCAATCAACTTTACCCATGTAAGTCCATGAGTGTATGGTCTGGAACAAACATAATATGAAGCAAAAGACCACGAGATATAACTACAATTGGTCTCAAGGATTCCCCATCTCTATGGGATGTGTAAAATGAACCTGTGACATGTGATGTTTTGTCACATATAAATTGTTGATATCAATGCATAATGATATTTGGATGGAGAGCTGCCCATTTCCATCTCCCTTTGGAAGATATCATCAG